ACGCTGAACTGCGCGGGCAAATGATACTTCCCGGTTGCCCAGGCCGAGGAAGGGGGTTTGGTTGAGGTACCCCACCTTGAGCCTTCCACTCAAAAGTCTGACCCACAAGGCAGTGGGATGACGTAGGGTTTTGTTCGGGGACCCTGACCCTAGCCTCTGACTCAAATGTCTGACGCACGAGGCAGTGGGAAAATGTAGGGTTTTCTTTGGGGACCCTACCTGGAGCCGATGACTCAATATTCCGACCTGATCGGCTGCAGGGGGTTGGCCTAACCCGAGGGCGCAGGGAATAAGGCATTACTCTCTCATTCCTGATGCAGCCGCGCACATTAGCTGCCTTTTGAGCAGCACCAGGCTCTTTGGTTTTAAAAGTATTTCGACCGTATTGGATAATGCGCCGGCGGTCACGGTCAACCGGTGGGCGATCGGAGTGTGCGGTTTTTGGGGCCGACCTTTTCTAACCCGTCCTTCCTCGGGGGAAGGCAGCATCGCTGCTTCCATGAATATGGACATGCTGGTCGCCTGGGGAAACACCTTACTGCCTTCACACTCCTGTCGCAGAGGACAGTACGACTTTACCCCCAGACCGCCTCGTAGCACGATTACTCGTGGTGCGGGGTCTCGCTGCTCTTGGTCCGGCTGCTCCCCTTTGGCCTTCCTGGCATGGTTGCACCTTGTGGAACGAAGTTCCAGCCAGTGTGGCCCGCAGGATCATTGCAGCACTCAAGCATGACCACCACGTCAAGGTGGCAGCTTTAGGTCGGGCTCTGTGAAAAAAATGAGGCCCAAACCTTTAATGATAATAATAAGAATATGATGAGATCAAATAAAATCGGTTTCTGTTGTGGTATTTCTCCTCAGGGACGAAAGGTTAAGTGTTCAACGACTAGTAGGTCTCCGCATTTCGTGAGCAGCGCTGATGTTTCACGATGAAGGTGAAACGGTTGTAAAGCGCTCCTCAGCTTTTAAGCATAGATTGGCCTCACTGAGAAGACGAAAAAACAACTGAAGATTACCAAATCTCCACATATCACCATCTGTCTTGTGTGTGTCACTGTAAGACCTACCATGCGCACATCTCAGGTCCTCTGTATTTTGGACACATCCTCTGCACCTGATGGTGCTAATGACGGAGGACAGCCCGTCAAAATATGTTTCAAGATGAAAGTTCTGGGACTAACCTGCCAACGTCTGAAGCCAAGTAGTTGATTGAAATGAGCCCAAAGATTCAAATAAAAAGTTTGTAATTCCCGAAATGTCCTCCACGATTACTATGACGGACAACATTTATACAAATGCATCGTGTAATGGATTGAAGTTCACATGAGGCACACATATGATGTGAATACAACGCTAGTGTATATCGCTCCAGCAATGATGTGTTCTGCGAAATCGCCTACGACAAAGTAGCCAATGGGATTGATACAGTTCGCTGAGATCTCAGTAATTGCAATATCAATAAAGCTCCAATAGGAGGTAACTTGAATCTAACATTGACACAGTCATGCAAGCCCCTAACTTTAAATTTACAAAAAATCCAACCATGCTATAATCTGAAAAGAGTTACCTATCTATTTTATCTTTGAAGTTGATATGTGTACAAGGAGCCGTTAATTGGTCAGAAGGTATAATTCGCCTCCAAAGCTTACCTATAAATCGTAGTTTTCTGTAATCAAGCTGCAATATTTGTAGTTACTTACGTGAGTCACACTGCTGGCATCTGACCGGTGTAAGAAATACACCCCCAGTGAGAAGTGTAAAGGGGATGCGTGAACTCGTGCTCCGCAAGGTCACAAGATTTTTAATTTCTGAGGGTTCAAAGCGGCAAAAGTGGCGAACAACATTGAAAAACGAAGTTAGCGGGTGACAAAATGCCTGGAAATTCATCCAGTTAGAGGTATTACTGAGTAGGTATTTTGGATTTATTTACATCTATATGGATTGCGACCGCGTTTTTCTTCCAGATTCAGTCACAAAATCCCCGTTATTGATTATCATAAGGCATAATCGAAAATACGTCGCCGTTCACACAATAGCATTAATAAACCTACCATCAGGTGCGATGTTTCAGTAGAGCGGCCGTCGGCATCTACACCATAAATTCGGACTGCCGAATGTTTCAGTCGTGCGCTCGTCAGCGGACAAGTAGGATGTATAAGGATACCAAGCGTGGAAACCGAATTTGAATAGATTCTTCGAAGCAGCAGTCAATATCTGATAGTAGTATGTCTAGTATCGTTTCCTCCATGCCGTCCTCTTTCATGTTTTGCCTCCCACTTTAAGAGGTCCGTGTTAACAGACTTTAGGCTTCCGACGAAAGTAACCAAATATTGAAAAATTCTTCGGATCTTTTCCAGATATCTCCGCCAAAAAATTAACCCCCGCCAACCAAAAAGATTAGAAAAAAGAGGATATGAAATTCGTACTCTTAGTTTTTTATTGGAGAGGGTCAAACTGGGACGGGTCATTAATAGTTTGCATGAAAAGGTCCGTTTTTCGGTACCTTTACCTCCAAATGAATTCACACAAGTAGCTGTCCACTAAAGATAGGTGTGTACCGCGTTTATTCTACATCTTGTAGATTTGCCAAAGAGATCCGATGTGTGAGCTCCAGTCGTTGGATCCACAAATTTCTCGGTATGACTAACCGTTTCATGAGTATAATTCATGTCAATCATCGTTTCAATTCCTTGGTATGGCGTCCATATATCGGAGATGATGATTGATCCGGGAGCGATGCAGGCCTGAATTGTGTCCATCAAAGTAGCCACAGGTTCGATCTGGCACTGAACACATGAACACCTCTTTAGTTTCCCGGCAGATCCCTCCGAAAATCCACTGCTGGGGAAGGACACCCTGCGTGGCTTTAACGGCGAGATATTAGCGTTTCATTGATCTCGACGTATATAGCTGGGCCGCCGATAACTGTTGAAGTCTGCAAAAGCCACCAGACGTGGACTTCGCGAAGAAAGTTCCAGTCAACAGCGGTCATGTGGCTAATAGATAATTCCTCTGAGCAGAATTCGATTTTTGCCAAATTTCTGGACCAGCAGTAAATGAATAGAATTACTATCCTAAACTCCATCCTGGACCGCTGAAGCCAAGTCCCCTTTCGAAGACCGATTTCTTGCCGACAATGTCAAGCATTACACCTCCACCAGTCAGAAACAGCCGAAAGTGTCATTTGGTGGCCATTGTTGCCTAAACCTTGGTGATGGACCACTTCGTGGCTTTGCAAAAAACGTATTGCCGTCCCTTGTCATGAATGAAAATTTCAGTGTCAGGAAGTTCATTTGAGGTTTTATGTCCGAACCGAGAAAATGTTTGCACAAAATGAGCCTAGATGCGGATAAGAAATTGTTTGCATCAAAAAATGGGTTAAGGTTGTGTGCCCACGTTGAATTGGAGCTAGTAAAACGTGTAGAGGCTTAACTTTCCGCACATGCACTTTTTGTATTAGTGGTGGGGCTTATCTGGAAAAGATAACACTCTTTTGGCAGGGGTTCGGTTCTTTGTATTCATTTTACTGTATAAAAGCTGCTTCGGAATTCTGTCTCCGTCAATTCTGCGAACATATCCCACCCATCGTAGCCACCTGGATGTGGTAAGCTCCATTGTTCGTCGGATGATCTTCGTGTCCGTCAGCGGATGTGAAATATTCTCCAATATCAGAAGGTTAGGCCGACATGTGATTCGTATTTCAATGTCTTACATATGGACAGGCGAAATTATCGCTTTATGGATGTGCAGCTTGGCTTTCTCCGAGGTTCACAGGTCGTCCTCAACCAACACCCACACAATATGAGATATCAGCGCACGGTCGACGGTCAAATCGGTAGACAATGTGTTTCCGCGATAGCAGATTTCCGTACTGTGGTGCAAAACTTCGCTCTAATCTAGATGAGCGGATTAGTGTTAAGGACTCTTCGGCGTAGGTTCGTGCAGGTCAACGGTCTTCCACGCGTTGCTATTTGGGCCGAACAATGGGGCAGCAGCCGAAAGCTTCTCAGCTAGGCACTGCAGTCCGTCAAGGTATGTGCAGACAGTCCTCATTTGTCCGAAAACATTATGCTAAGGACCTTGGTCTGGTGGACCAGACTTATTTCATATGAACGCCTTATACTTAGCAGATAACCCAACTATGAGGCTGAACTCACAATGGCTCTAAGACAGAGACTGAAGGGAACACGCCAATCAATATCTTTAAATCACCTGAAGTCGACTGAGCTTTCACCCTTGATTGACAGAAATGAAGACTTGACTTTTTCTTTGTCTACAAGGACAGTGTGCAACGACTGACGACGTTCGCAGAATTATGCTTGAGGCAGTATCTCCACTGGGATTCATTCGGCGCTCACTAATGCGCTCAGGATTTGGCGAAATGACTGCATCATATCCAGCGTTTCTGTAGGTGACGCTTGCCCCAGTCCTATGTCTTTGGAGAGTTTGGATCGCTTTAACATTTGACCACTAGACGCCTGTCAGGGTATCTTCGAATTTCAATTGAGGTTTCGTCCGATAAATGCCGAAAAGTCGAATAGCATTGTATAACCGTTTCATTGAAAATCACCAGCATGGTGTTTCGAACATGCAACTTCACTAGCAGTCCGAATACTTAACCACTCGACCACGTTTGATCAGCAGTTTGATTAACTCGCGCTATGGCCGTATGACAGCCCCCCTCATCTGCCGATCAGGGAACCCACATTATCAGGTAATGTGCTGACTGACTTCACGAATGGCAATATTAGCTGAAAGCTTCGCTCATCTTGTGAACTTAATCTTCCTCCGAACTACTTATAGGTTGCTGTTAGTGGAAGAAGGTCTGTGAATTTACAGTTGAGATTTCATCGTTATGTGAAGCTCACAACTGCAGGCAGAAACTGCGGTAACAAGGAAGGACATTACGTCATGACGACAGAGTTCTTTTGTTGAAGACGGCAAAGTTCCTGACCTCTCACAAAGTGTGTACAAGCGTGACGAGAGTGAGCGAAATCTAGAAGATTGCACAACCCCTATTTTACACCGAACAGAACCTGCTTACAAACCACTCCAATTACTATTGTCACGCTTGGTGCTACGGTTGAAGGAAGTGGGAAGTTCAAAGCTCCGGCCCAGTGTCGGACGACTGATTTGGAAATTATTGGACCATTTTATAGTGGTTGCCCATTTACTTTGAATATTTACTTGGTGTCCAGAAAACCTCATGAGAGCACTTGAGGATTCCGACTTTTCAAAAACTCTGTGCAGTTGAAGTTTTCAGTTTCGTTTCCGATGGATTATTGAAGCTGTTTTAGTGTTCCTAAACGAGTACCTGGAGAATGCAGGTTAGATGGTGTTCGGACGATAAAAGGTAAAAACAAAAAGAGAGAACAGAAAGATGTGCTCTACATTACCAGTTTTGAAATCCGACCAGTTAATGATTAGCTAAACAGCTATGGGACAAGAAAAGCTCAACTATCTTTAAGTAAGGCCATTAGACTGATAGCCAGAAAGTTCTTACAAATGACCATTGTGTCTCTGATATCTGCTTAAGCCACGCCTTCAGTTTGTTCATTCCCTCGGTCCAGTCATCAGTCAGCTGGAAAGTTGTCGACAGTTTCACCTAGATTTCGAATTGTAGCACCCATAGATGTTTAAGTTATAGTCTTATTTTCCAGTAAGTTATTTAGGTCTCATCCAAAAGATAGGTTATTATAAGTAACTTGAGGCCAACATTCCGGTTCATGGACTGGAAGCTGTCACGTCAACGGAATTCCAACTGTCCTGTAGTTCTAGCTTCATTCTTTAAATGACGGTAAATAAGCTGTTTCTGAATGTGCTTATTGGCCTACATTTTACGAGGGCTACCTAGCTGGTTATGCATCCAGGTGAAATCGACTTCATCGGTGGCCCCATTTCCGACTATCACTTTCCATTTACGTCTGCCATGGGCACATCAGGCTTTTAGTTCACCCATGACCGTGTTATCTTCCGACCCAGTGGATGAGATGACAGTCGACAAATGCACCTGGAATTTTCCTTCCTCAATTTATCGTTGAGATATTTTAGAAATATGCATACTGATAAAGTGATGAAAATCCTCCCGAGAGTGAAATTTGCATGGTCATTAGCGCTGTGGTGATGCGGTTCGGTTCGTTCGGTATTCTTCCATTCATAGGACCAGTTACTTGAAATCTTGCCACTGGAAATTCCGTCAGCTATCACGGATGATCCGGGCCAACAGGGTGTCTATCCAGCTTTCTATAACCCTCTTGGATCAGTCTACCGAATTCTCCTCAGTGCAACCGTATCGATACCATAAAGTCTAAGCTCCTTGGCTAAAAGAGCATCAAGCCATTGGAGTCTGTCGCTTCTAGCCCTGTCGAGATGGGTACCCATTTTCCAGGTTTCGACTCTGAATTGGTGCAACTTCATGGTTATTTGAGACTGTCAACTAGCACAACCTTGAAACCTTTTGGCCGTCCCTGTATTTTGGTCAAGCCCCCGGACTGTAGTTCGAAGCTTGGTTCACTTCGTTTGAGGCAACTTTATGGAGGCTAGCGACTAACCCACTTGGTGGCTGGGTCTGTTTTAGTCCATAGAAAAAGCCATTAAGGTATGGATTTCTGAGTCCTAATGCAGGAGTGTTTTTTAAGGTCAACCTTTTCTACCCGTCTCCTCCTAAGTGCAAGGTAATATCACTGCTTCCATAAATATAGACACGCTGGTCACCTGTAGAAAACGGATTACTGTCTTCACGGTACCGTTGTAGGGAGCATTAAGATTAATCTGGAACCCCTTGGTATCAAAACTGTCCTTAACGCGGCGTCTCAGTGTACTCTGCCTCACTGCTCTCAATGACCTTCCTGAAATTGCTGCATTTTGAGGGACGAAGTTCTGGCCAGTGTAGCCTGAATAAACACAGCAGTGCTAAAGTGTGACAACTATGACACGGTGGCAGTTCCTGGTGTGCATGTATGTTCATATACTCACATTTAGTGATCTCCTGACGGAACCTCGGGCGTGAAACACGAATACGGGGTGATAATTCTAATAGGGTGATGACTACATTTGTTGAGAGTTACTTGACGTTTAGTGAGCATTTACCCATTTTGTTCATTACCAATAAAGTTGTTCTTGTTATCGCTTCAAAATATTCCCAACCAAGTTGCATGATAATGTTACACATTCCTCCAAAATTGTCATTACATCGATCTATAAGCAACTCATGAGCAACTAATAGGTTTTGTTATGACGACAATGTCGCTTGTCGTTTGTATGCTACTTACCAATAATTGTAAACAATCGACGCTGTCTCTCTGGCAGCAGTAGTGTAAAGGACTGGCCCCCCGTTCGCCTTCAGCATTCACGTCAATTTCGCTGATTTTGAGAAGTATCTGCAATGAGTCCAAAAGTCAGGTACTTCGTACATCACTGTATATATCTCGCAAATCAGTAGATCAGCATGGTCCCCAAGACCGCTTTCTACACGAATTTCCAAGATGTTTACCAAAGAAAAGAAATCATCGAAGATGCACCTACTCTTCCGCATGATTATATTCAACAGTTAATATTTAACCGCGCCTAAATGAATTTCATTGAAGTTTATAAGCACGTAAATCGTGGACGTTTCCGACTGACAAACTTTCTGTATACAAACGATGAATCTGTGAAGTTGAAGACTGGGAACAAAGAAGAAAACGATAGGTGTAATGGTTTCCCCTCTTAAGCTACTCTGATAATCAAAATAACAGCTAACGATCAAAAGCACGCTTGAAGACACCATATAATTTAATGGTACGGATGAGTGACTGGTCGTTTTTGACCCTTGAAACCACAAAAGTTTCTGAAGAATGAAATTTCGTCCTAATAATTCGGTTTCTTTCTACTTGTTGCAGAAAATAACATTCACGCCTGGGAAGAGGGAATGTTGTGACTAGCTATGATAGACGCTATTTTTCTGGGATTCACCTACTGGGAAAGAGAACTCATTACTGCACACAAACGTGTGATGACACCAGAAGTAAGTGAAGCAGGACCCAGTGGGACAAATTCTATGTACACAAGTGGTACTGCTTGCGAACGAGATTCTGTATATATTCTCACGCGTGGAAAGCATGGTCCTTTGAACAAGGATATCATGAAGTGATAATTACGTTACATTATGCTGCGCAGTGATCCATATTAAATTGTACATGCTTCTGGTACTCCCTACTAAATAGAAATCGTTTACTCTTCAGAAGAACATGGTGAGCTCTCGCGAAAAATTTTCAATTATAAAGGAATAGATCTAATTCGATGGGTACAGTTTCCACATACTTCTTTCATTCCTAGCACTATCCACCATAGAGCATGCTACTAAGATGTCGCACATTGTAAAAATAAACTTGGCAACCAAGACGATGGATGACTTATGGATGAGCTGTGCGCGTGCAGAAGTTAGCAGACTAGAATACCTGAACGCTTTATTTTTAGATTCTTTTGTGAGTTTTTTGAAAACTCGTTTCTTTTGGGAATTTTAAATTCCAACTTCTTCTATCCAGACTCTCAGGGTAAAGATTTTTGAAATCTTCGTCTGGCGACAACCACAGTACAGTTTCTGAATCTAGTAAAAAGTGTGAAATACACAATAAATTCCCGATATCATTCGGTTGCAAGACTGGAAGAGAGTACTCATCACTTTTGAATACAGCCGTCTTTGATCACCAATTCCAAACCAGTGGCATCATTGGCCATATGTAGTATGTGATCAACCACCAACGAACTTCGCTATCATTGATGATTTAGCACGCTGTCGTGTAGTCTAGGAATTTATTCATTATCAAAGCGATTTTTTGTCTTTAAGGCTGTCACATTTTGACTAAAACTTGCCCTCTGCAAGCGCCTTGATTAGTGTGGGCCTGAAGTCACTGTACTGGATAGTCCCACTCACTCATTCCAGCATAACCTAATATCAACCATTAGACCTCCGAGTGAACTGTTGTATTTCCCTGTACGCGATGCCATAGCCGGTTTCATTCAATGACCAGGATGCTGTGATCAAACGCCGGTTTGTTCGAGAAAGCTCGCTTTTGATGCTATTTATTGCATTACCAAACATTTTCAAATGTTATGCGATTCAATTCACTACCTACGTGACTTGGGGCGGAATTTGATCATTAGGTACTAACCTTCAAAGTATCCTTGTCATTTCTTTCGGCAGCCAAGTGAATCGGTTGAAGTCCATTTTTGTTCGGAAGACGGGCCTCTGACCCAATACTCAGAAGAAATTTTGCAGCGCTTTTGTGTTCGCTCATTATTGCCAGGTGAAGTGGCAAGTTTCCACGGTTGTCAACTTCATTAAACTCTTCAAAACAATTGGAGAGAAGGTTTAACAAAGCGCGTGATCGGTCACAGAATTTGGGCTTCCTCCATTTAGTGATGGTTGCTTCTGTGCTCTCAGTCTATGAAAGGTCTTACCACACTGCACTGATAAATCTGATAATCAGTAGCAGGTCATTGTTAGCGCCACCGATAGATGCCGTCAAAATTGCGTTTTAGAACTCCCTAAAACCCGTTCTTAACACAAAGTATGATTCGAGGCACAGTCATCATAATAGAATAGAGGGTTTTGAAAGTTTCACCAAAGTTTCCATATCTGGTTATCTTTCTCTGATTCTGTATATCACACCAGCAAGGTCGCCTGCATATTTTTTCACATTCACGTGTAAAAACATGTTTTACTGACAATTCAGTTGCCTGGTTCGACTGTGTACTGACAGCCTTCTAGGTACAATTTCAACAGGCAAAACTTCTTTCCCAACGAAGCTCTCCATGCCTTTTGAGTGTGATCTAATGAAACCTTGTATCCAACCCGCGATCAACCCAGTTACTCTGGAGAGCAATGATCATCGTTTAGCAAACCAGAAAATTTCGACATCTTCGTTTAGCGGCAGTTTAACCTCCTCCCACCAGACATGTTAAGTGACAGCTGCACCCGTATTGTTACTTCTTTGCCGAACGTTTAGCAACACTACGAAAACCGAATGCATCAGTTTCTGAAGTGCTGCCACCAGAAAACTAAAAGAAAAGCGTTAAAAGATTTGACTTCCCACCCGTTTTCTCAGTCATCTTAACCTATGTAGAGCTCAAACGGTGTCGAGCTCGTGCGTACGGATTCATGCGTATATCACGCGCATTCCACCATAAATATCATTCTGTTGTCGTTCGAAGTTGTTGTCATTCGTAGTCAGTCTAGCTTCTGATTGATTCCCCTCAGCAGAACAGTCATTCCAACTTGTGCACTGGTAATCGTAGGACGGTAAGGCTTTGCATTTTGTTCAAAACGTTACTCTACGAAGTCATTAACGTTGAGGCAATAATGCTATACAAGGAATTTATTAGCCCAACTTAGTTAAGACGATTGGCGGTTGGTATAGTGAACATGGATACATTTTCAATCCTTGAACTCCGCTTACTGAAATCACGCAAAACTAATTGCAGCAAAGGAACAGTGAAGAGCAAACAAGTCATAATGGGCGAAAAGCATATATATTCTTCATATTCTTCGTCCCTGAATGCGGACTGTAACGAGATAAAGGAATTCAGATTATTGAAGGGCCAACCAAGATATAGTTAGCTGGTTCGTGCTCCGCATCTTGCGTCATAAGTCTCTCCTCGAAATTTCGAATAAGGAAATCAGCTAGATTAACTTCGTCTCAGAATAATCAAGTGTGTTTTACGATAAGTGTGGCCACTGAATACCAGCCTTTGATGCAAACTGAGTTGTCTGCTCTTCAGGTCGTCATTTCCTTCTGTAGACTGATTATAGCCTGAGTGGAATTTTGATGCGATTAATTTGATAAAAGTGTATGTGGTCATGCGCGGATACTCCGGTCTTGCATCTGCCTGGCAGGTGTGGGTTCGTTCGCTCGAATACAACCAAAAGTGTCCGTCTCTTCGTTCTCACCATAAATACTTGGACATCATCATTGTGGTCATCAAATCTTCACTCTTCTTATAGATCTATTCTATAGTCCCCTTGTGCAGCCAACAACCTCTTGTTTGTTTGGGATTTGCTTGCACCGGAACAGTTAGCAGACGCATTGTTTAACTCCCTTTTATTCAACATCCCTTAATTTGCTTTCTGTCGGTTAAACAGTTACACGTCTTTATATTTTTACACCTGCAAGTACGCATGTCTCAAAGGGCATAAAGACGGTTACTGGGACTCCGTAAATTTCAGTTCATTTCCAAGTTTTACCAAAACTGTGTTAAGTGAAAAAAGAAGCTGGAAATTGTAGGGGAAATTTCCTTGGTGATCGCAACATACAACTTCGCCTGAAGTTCAGTATGTAAACGGGTAGACTATAAAATATACTGATGTTCGACTACACAACATTTGAAGAACTAGTGCATGGACAGCAACAACTGCGCGAAACTTACGAGCATTGTTTGCCACCAGAAACTTAACGATCTTCAAGTTCCCCGTTGACGCCGCGTGATGCAACAACGTTTGTTTGTTCTGATCGACTTGGTGTATAACCGATGGATTCTGGGCGACAAGATCGACTAAGCATTCAAACTCATCATATTTCACATACTAAATGGCAAAAAAGAAAAAAAATATGTGAAGTCGGTGATGTATCTTTAATCCGATAGAAGTCAGTGATCACTCGTGTGCTTGGGTTTATCTTTTATAGGACAGTACACGTTTCAAGTCTAGAATAGTCAGGAACCACCGTCGCGGTAACTCTCATGTCCATGCAGTGACTAGTCGTGTCGGAAATACTCCATATATCCTATCCCTATAGTCAATAATCCAAGCCCCATCAGTCACATGGAATAGATGGAGATATAATGTATCCCGTCCCTGAATTGCGGCAATAAACCGGACAATATACAAGGGTTCCCATACCTTCATAGATCACGCGGTTGCATTACAACATAAATTAAGCCATTCAGAACCAGTGTGTTAAACGTAGAAAGTCAAAGGAAATCCCACGATCTTAACAGTTCATTCTACGGATCATGACTTTGGTCTTCCGCCCTTCATTTGCCCTTGATTTGCCTTAGGTAAAAAACGTGTTACAAATGGCTTTACAGTAAAACACTTCGACCACATCTTACGATAAGGGCAATCCTTAACATTTTAAATGCGAAGTCATCAAAATGTGGACTAAAATATAGATTCGCAGCATTGTCAAAAGACGGTCAGTCTGTGTAGAGACATTCGGAACCCCGGCATACAACATTGTGCTCATCGCGCTGGTGCGTACTGAACTGTATTTTCAGCATTATACCAGCTTTACTAGGGTCACACTTGTATCTGTCATAGTATGAAATATTTCCCTTATATCGGGCGGAGAGTGGAAATTGTGCACTCCTCCAGGTCCTTTTACGCGACATAAGTTGCTCTCATTTTTAATCCGTTCACTATAGACCCTCGATAGCTCCACGTACAAAGGTACCAGTGGAAGGAAGAAGGCCTTCACTACGGAGTTATTTTTTGGAAATCACCAACTGAACAGTTACAGAATATTGGACAGGGAAGCCAAAGTCTCATATTAATCTTGTTTATAAAAACTGAGTACCCGTTTTCTTTTCTAACGCGTCTTCCTGAACTTTCCTGAATAATCATTGACTATCACTCAAATTTAAATTAATGCAACAAAGCAATTCATTCCTTAATATAATAAATCTCACTTTTCAATAGACGCGAAGCGGGTTTACGATAAAACCACATACTACTCGCATATCTCATCAGTAGTGTCCACCCTCCCAGAGGTACTGTAAGGCCCAATGGGTTTATAGTAGTGTCAATCTATTCTGGAGTGCATTTGCTGGCATCCACCTGCATATATGTTAGTTAAACAGGATAGAATTTGTCAAAAATTGAGATCAGTCTGTTGGTGAATGCTCGGGTGAGCGTCCCTGTATATATAGGAATGGCTTTATGCCATCGTATAAAACGATCGTCACACATCACGAGATAAGAGCGACTGTTGGGTTTTGGGAGAGTACCGAAAATATCGACGTGAACATGGCTAAATCGGCAGTCTGTGGTGGGAAAAGTACTGATGGGCGAATGAGTATGGCAAACGACCTTGAGCGTCGATTTGAGGTAAAAGTTTTTGCCTATGAACGTATGTCGTTGTTCCTATTCTGCCATGCGGAACGTTGAAAGATGAGTTTGGCCGTTGCACTTGTATTAGAATGTGAGACGTTATGCAGAGTGCCAAAAGTAAGGCGGTGTATTGTTCAATGAACGACGGGTCTTGTAATTGGGTAGAGAAATCGCAGTTGATGGTACCTGGTGCCATTTGTATTGGTACTGGTCTAACATGCAGTGAAAATGCTCTGTCAAGCGATAGCGGCACGATAGGCTTGTGTTTTTGTAGCTGAACCATAGGTTGAAGATCATTTGAGGGTACTGAGCAGAGTAAATCGATTGCCTGATGAGACAGGGTGTCCAAGATGATGTTGAACTCTTCCGCTATGTAGTGAACGTCACTGGCGAATTGAGATGTATAGTTAATCTGACGTTGTTCGCGAGACGAATATTTGTCAGACTTGGTCTATGGGAGCGAACGTCAGAGGTTCGTGCTCGACCTCCGAAAATTGGTGAAGATGTCAAATGGATGGATAAGTAGAGAGCAACTCTCGACCGAAAGTGTTGTAGCGAGATTCTGTTGGTGAGAGTTTCCTGTAAAAGTACCCAAGTGGTTGAAGTTTACCTTGAACAGACCGTTGTGGGACTGCACGCACGGCTATGTTAGGTTGGTCAATACACAGTGGCAATTGTGCATCAGAATCAGTCAGTAAGGAGTTAACTCGTTCAAAGGCTTATTTAAGAGTGTCATCAAAGTACAACTTCTTAGCAGGCATATTACCATATAGCAAGCTGGTAAAAGGTGCCAAATATTTTGCAACCCTGGGAATGAAACAACGAGAGAAATATTCATTCCAAAAAACGCTTAATTTGCACAACAGTTGCAGAGTAGGAAAAGTTGCGAATGATGTAAGGTTCATCGACGACCAGGAAAATACCGGTTGAGTCAATGGCATGCCCAAAGAAAATTACTTGGTTTGATGCAAAGATACACTTTTTAGCACTAATGATGAGGCCATATTCGGTTAAACGATCATACGAAATGCGTAAATCTTCCAAATGCAGTGCGTGTGCGAGACTGGAAACCTGGATACCATTCGGGTACGCATTCGGGTACGGGTGACATCACAGAACCTGAGCGATAAGGCGTTGAAATGTTTGTGCTGCATTACGAAGGTCGACAGCATGAGTGGGTACGGGTGACATTACAGAACCTGAGCGATAAGGCGTTGAAATGTTTGTGCTGCATTACGAAGGTCGAGCAGCATGCGTAAAAGCTCGAACAACCCAAACGGTATGGCAATAGCAGTTTTATGAACTTCATCAAGGGTGTATAGGGATGTGATGGTGATAAGCGTGAATAATGGAGAAAAACTGTACATCCGTACAAATAGGATGAAAACACGCAAGTACCGCTTAGGTACAGTGGCATTGTTGAGTGCTCAGTAGTCAGCGCAAGGGCGCAGGTATGAGGACGTTTTCGTATGTACCATCTGGAGAGGTGGAGTCCATGTGCTTTGAGAAGGTCTGGTGATACCTAGTTGAAATGTTAAAATGTGTGAGAAAATCGGCGACAATGATAAAGTGGTGTACGTCGGCGACGACGAAAATCTATGTGAACTCACGATCTAACGCGAGCTTGAAGAATGAAACACGCTGTTCATAAGTCTTGTTGGTCAGTCAAGTTAGCAAGCGGGACAGGATTTTGTCACGTGTCTTGTGTTTGTTGGGCAAATGAGTAGCTTGATCCAGTGAGTGACCGCTACACAGACATCATGTAATTTGCTGATCCATTTCTTCAGTGACAGCCCGCTCATTTTCGGCTATCTTACAGAAGGAATGGATATACCTTGTTAGTTGCTCCAGTGATTCCGGAAAGTTCATCACTTTGTGTTTCCCAAGGCCAAGTCTTACACCTGTGGCTTTCCAAGAACGATTTGGACAATCTTTGCAGTTTGCCAGGAATGAGAGACACAACGACCTCCTGACAAAATTTCGGTACGTATATTTTACGAAGCATACTCTTACGAAATAGCACTGTAATGTGGAATTTCAGCGTATGTTTTGCATGCCTTAAGCCCAAAAGTTTATCTCATAGGGATCTATCCGTGGAGAAAAGGAAATTGGGCCATCCAACGCTATGTATTAGCTCTTTCTCCCATCCTGTAGATGAGTGGAGCGCGAAAGTTTATTAAGTTTGCTTCACACTATGTCCGTTGTTAGGTCAAGCTAATCCTAGTAAAGCCCTATTCATTCCTTACATCCCATTTGAGGATTCGAGTTAAAACAGCCTGTCCAAAACCCGTTGAATATGTTATCATCAGCCAAACAATTTGAAGGTGTTTGCGCATCAACATGTCATAGATGCGCCCAGATAATCCTTGCTTCTCCAAAACTATCAGTGATCCTTAAAATCGTTTGCCCACGGAGCTAGCAGTTATCAGATTCCAGGCATAAGCTCGACCATTGCGGGTCAATGGCGATGTACGACCTAGTGTCAGAGATCTATCTCGCGGCCCAAGACGCTTAAAAACGTCATGAACTGGAGACTCAGCTGGGTTCCCGGTGCATCATCCATCAAAACCAAATTGGCAGAGTGTATTTTGCAGATTTTGTGCAATATGGGTTCACGTAGAACAGGAGGTTGACGGAAAATAGAGGACTGCGCCTACCTGATGAGCTCCAAGAAGAATGAAACCAGTTGTGGGCTGTCGAAGTGTTATGAGTAGTGTATTACGTCTATACTTGTATCGCGAAATCTGGAATACCGCACCGGCTGAAATATGAGGCGGTCTGGTGCAGCGCATTCAGCTGCTTAAAACATCATAAGCGGGAGAGTCAGCTTTGTTCCCATCAAAGCCGAATTAATGTGCAAATGAGTGTGTTTCTCTAAGATAGGTATTTGGTTTCGTCTTTGCCTCACATGTAATCACGCCGGTTGTTGTCATCAGTGTTCTCTCTTCAGCAGCCTCCATATGGCTGTATATTCCATTTACAACTTCAGTTTTTCTTCCAGTCAGTTACCTTGTCAGCCAATGATGTTTGGTTTCATGACGTGCACTTGGTTTTGGTCCATTAAATAAATGTTCCAGTGGTTGCTTGAGAGTAAAAACTAATGGATACTTCACATATACATTCAAACACGCACGCATTTTTGTGGATTGCATGAATGCTGCGGCATGCGTTGTATGTATGAATCTGGGCGAACATAAGCTTAGCCATGTCATATTAAATCCCTGAGCTAAACCCAAATTGGCTGGACTTGCGTTTACAGTCCATATGGTGGCAAACAGTCCTTGGATTAGTTGTGATGGGTTCACTTCCATCCTTGTTCGAGAAAGTGAGCGTTACCGTAGGTGACTGACTCGTAGGCCTTCAATGTGCAGTAAACTGTGTTGTGGGATGTAATACTCCGAGAAAATTTCCAAACATTTGGTAAGCAAATGTGCACAAGGTGCATCTGCCTCAAAACCTCACCAGTCAAAAGCCTT